AAGTTGCCTTGGGATTATTTATTTTATCCCAACCCTCAAAGTAAACGACCCCTAAAAGTAAAATGGAAAATATAATGAAACGAAAATAGTGGAAATAATAGAGTACAGCTGTAACCCAATGATATCCTAGTCAGCAACATGAGATTTAAGGAATCAATTTTCCGGACACCTGTAACAAACTCCTCAAGTGGCACGTACATGCATTTTCTCATCACACTCCAAATAATCACAATTCACAAACAAAAATAATAATAATAAAAAAAAAAATAAAGGAAAAAAAAACACACACACACACATACACACAGAGAGACACGCAGATATGATTGTACGTACGTGTCTCTCATAGTCCCCCTGTCCGTCTTTATAAAATCAGCTGCTCCATTTTCATTAAATTCATCTCTATCCCTACACACAAACACATACACCATTTTTTTTCTTTCTCCATCTTCAAGTCTTTATCTGTTTGTACAAACTACCCTTAATTTGCTGTCTACTAGCTCAATTTAAATTTACAAAAGTTCCCCGTGTTTTCTACATATTATCTTTTCTGGCCCAAATTTTTGTGATTGATTCTAATTATTTTAATTTTCGTTAAAAAAAAAGGATCGGAAGGGAAAAAAAAATGAAGGAAAACAGGGGGAATCCACTGCACCTCTCATCCCTGAACCACATATCACTCGTCTGCAAATCAGTTGAGGAATCAACTTCCTTTTACCAAAATGTCCTCGGGTTTGTACCCGTCAGGAGGCCCGGGTCACTCAAGTTCGATGGAGCATGGTAAATGCAACACACCTGATTATTTTTTAGTTTGCTTATTTCACTATAATATGGATTTTTATTGATGAACAATATTGGTTCTGGATTTTTATTGATGAACAATATTGGTTCTTCCTTTTTTATTTTTTTTTTATTTTTTCCTTTAATTAGGCTGTTTGGTCATGGGATTGGAATTCATCTGCTGCAATCCGAAGATCCAGACAATATGCCGAAGAAAACAATGATTAATCCCAAGGATAATCACATATCTTTCCAGGTAGTTGGATATATAATTAGTTAATCATTTTATGATTATTTAACCAAATTCGGTGAAAAAATGGATCTTTAAATTGTTTTCAAATGATTTTGTAGTCAATAAGGCTATGTTTTGTAAAACTAGCCGCTAGCTGATAGTTTATCTGTAATTTTCGAGTTTATAGCTTATAACTTATGACTTATAGTTGAAAATGTAGCAATTTATATAATAAAAGTCTTTGGTAAAATTAATTGATAAGCTAGCTGAAATAAAAAATTCATATGGGCTTGCTTTAAAATTCATCTGGGCTTATTTGAAAAGCTACTCAAAGAAACTCATCAAATAAGTTCGAGCTCGTCGTAAACAGAGCTTATTTGAATACAAGGAGTTTATAAGCTAACCAAATAACCTATAAGCTAGCTTATTAGACTACCAAACATAGCCTAAATCAAAATCCACTTGAAATTTTTATTTATATTTTATAGTAATTTTGAAGTTGATTAAGAAATATATATATATTTTAGTTGCAATAATAATTGCAAAATTGGAAGTAGAGGATCCTTTCTTTTAGTGAAATGAATTATTTGTTACCATAGTCATTCAATTGTTTCTGTTGGAGCTGGAAATGAAAAATGGGCTCCACAAAGAAAAGACATACACGAGTTGTGTCTCACTTAAAAGATCCTCAACAGTCCCCAATCATCACGTTATTTATTTTCATCAATCAATTGGACCATTTTAATTAATCTGATCGTCAACTTCAATTGTCACTTTCAAGTTTCAACTATATTTGGTTGATTAATTTTAAAAAAAAAAAATCAATTAATATATATATACTCGTGTTGATTAATTTAATTAATTGTGATGCAGTGTGAGAGCATGGGGATGGTGGAGAAGAAGCTGACAGAGATGGGGATCGATTGGGTGCGGCAGAGGGTAGAGGAAGGCGGGGTGTATGTGGACCAGCTGTTCTTCCACGACCCAGACGGGTTCATGATCGAGATATGCAACTGTGACAACATGCCAATTGTACCCCTGGCTGGGGAGATTGTACGCTCATGCTCCCGGCTCAACATGGTGCAGCAACAGCCGCAGCCGCAGCAGATCCACCCTCCCGTGGTGCGACCTTAATAAAAACGAATTATTATGGTGGGGGTGTCCACGTCAGCAGATGCCTTCTGGCGCAACTGTTTGTCCGTTAGTCACCTAAACAAGAGTCGTGTGTTATTGTGTACTCAGTTGATGTAATAAAACGAGGCTTTTGGTCATTTGGTCCAAATAGCAAAGTCCAAATCGAATTTCTCGTGTTTTAGGTGTTACGTTTTTTCACTCTTTCCTTTTTTCCTTTTTTAAGAAATTAATCAATTCAATAATGTGGAAATTAGGACGCCTATAAAATCATAAATGTTGTATCAATTAAAATTTCAATGTTTTTTTTTTTCAATTTACTTTCAAAATTCCTTGAAAAGAAACAAAGAAGTGAGATTTTAAATTTCAGTATTGGAGTGCTATTTATAGTGTTTTCGAGTACGATCGTATAGACCAACCACGATCAACCACGAGTCATCTTTCAAAAAAAAAAAAAA